AGAAATTTTATGACTGGGAGATGGGCTAGAGTTGCACTTCTTAAACTGTGGGTCACGACCCATGAAAAGTTTGGCAACAATAAAAGGTTTCTGAACATGCAACAATCAAAAATTAATTAAAATCAAATGTATAATGAATCTGAGGAGTTTCTGGCAGGGCTTGCCCGTGTTGCATCTCCACTTCACTTGCAGCCTTGGTTCTGAACAAACAGCACACTCACCTTGCACTGCACATGCCAACAAACAGAGGGTCACAAGTGGAAAAAGTTCAAGAAGCCCTGGGCTGGAGAAGTGACTTCTCAAGATGTAAGAAATGGCTTTTGAGTACTGATTGTCACCATGAATGAGGATTCTGTGCCAAGAAAGAAGGAGAAGGGTGGCTGGTGGAAGCCCTAGAAGTTGAAAGATGTGTCCTTGTCAATGGACAGAAAAGACCGAGGAGCAAAAGCCCTGCATGAGTCCAATGGGGAGAGAAAAGCCACAGCTCACCTATGGGCAGGGAAATTGAAGAGAAGACGATTATAACTTGGAGAAATGTCCTTAGCAACAGGAAATTTTCTTTTAAAAAATAGTTTTATTTACCTTTTTTTGTTTTTACATCATCTACATTTCCCAATACATTCCCCTCCCTCTCCCAAAGAGCTATCACTTATAATAAAGAATAAAGAAAGAGAACTCCCCCCCTAAAGAGTTCAGCAAAACTAACCAACCCATCAAAAGATAATGACATTAAGCACAATGTTCTACATCTATGCCCCCCTCCCCCCATCTATGCAAAGAACAGAGGGAAATGAATTCTCATAGCCCTCCTTTGGGGCCAAGCTTGGTCATTATAATTCCACAAAAGTCAATTTAAAATGTTTTGTTGTCAATATTTCCACTTGCATTGTTGTGTTCATTGTTTATATTGTTTTCCTAGTTCTGCTTGCTTCACTTCTCATCAGTTCATACAAATTTTCCCGTGTTTCTTTGTATTCATAATATTCTACGTATTTTATGGTCCATTAATGTTCCATTCCATTCCACACACTGATTTGTTTAGCCATACCCCAGTTGATGACCATCTACTTTGTTACCAGTTCTTATTTACTACGCAAAAGTGCTAAAAGTATTTTGCAAAAGTAAAAAATGCTAAAAATATTTTGATACATATAAGACCTTTCTTTTTATCAATGACCTCCATGGGACATAAAGGTATCAGTGGCAACAAAGAACTTTCTAAAGACTTCCCCAGAGATGCATGGCTGGTTGTTCTACTTTGAAGCAAATACTTTGTATTCCCGTTGGAATTCAACTCTTTCCCCAAGATTTCACATCTCCTTCCTGCTTCAGACTCTGAGTGTCTCACATTTTTCAGGCTTTTGGCCAAAGGCTGTTCCCAGCAAAATGTCCAGGACAAAGAAGACTGTAATCTTCAGAAGAAAATATAAAGTTTAAGACAGAGTTGGAGAGGGGCAGCTAGGTGGCACAGTGGATTGAGCGCCAGCCCTGAAGTCAGGAGGACCTGAGTTCAAATCCAGCCTCAGACCAAACACTTGACACTTACTAGCTGTGTGACCCTGGGCTAGTCACTTAACCCCAGTTGCCTAAAACAAAAACAAAGCAAACAAACAAACAAACAAAGACAGAGTTGGAGAGGGTTTCCAAGAGTGACAGTGTAGCATTTGGGGTAGACCTAAGGGTTGACAGCTGAATCGGAAAAGCAGACTATGCTCAGAAACCTTAAAATACAGAATGTTAGAACTGGAGCACATCTCTTAGACATGGGAGACCTTAAAAACTATCTATTGATAGATTAAGAAACTGAGAGATGGATGGATAGAGATGAATAGATGGATAGATGAATAGTCAGATAGATGGTAGATAAATAGATAGACAGATAGTAAATAGTCAGAAAGATAAATAGATAGATAAGGAAGATAGAAGGGCAGATAGATAAGTAGATAGGTTGAGAATTTATTAAATGTGTACAGTGCCAGACACTGTGCAAAGTGCAGGGGCCACATATAAATGTAAACAAGACAGTCCTTGCCCTGAAGGAACTTACATTCTAATGGGGGAAAGACAACACACAAAGGGGAACTGAAAAGAGCTAGCATGCTGGGAAAGCCTGGCTCCAGGCAAGACAAGGTGAAAACTTGCCTACCAGAGCTAGTGTCCCAGGGTTGGAATCCAAGGTTCAGGTGTGTGGAATTGGGGTAGGGGTGAGGGTGAGGGTGATGGGGGGGGCAGGTGTGGAGATGGCCAGGGCAGAATGAAGAGACTTGCCAAAGATCCCGTGGCTAGCATGTAAAGGAGGTCTCTTGACTCTCAGCTCTGTGATATTTTTAAGCTATCAGATCTTTATGCTTCATGCCTGTGACTTATCTGGCTCAGGTGTTCTGGTGTATAGCATGCCAGAGCTTGAAGGTATCATGTAAGTTTACTTTTAATTTCGTTTGGTTATCCCACTTTTTGTATATGGGTCTTCCACCAGACTGTAAGTTGTTGGAGGGCAGGCATCATTTTGCATTTGTCTTAATATCCTTAGCACCTAGAAAAATGCCTTACATGTATCGGAGGACCTTAATAAAAATTTCTCAATTGATTAATTGATGTGTGAATTCTTCAAGGATCTAAGACACCATCAGTAGAGACAGTGAAGTACAGCTGAGAGACAACAGGGATTGAAGTGAGCCTCAGATATTTATTAGCTGTGTGACCTTGCACTAGTCACTAAACCACCCCCAAGTCTCCAACTGCTCATTTGCAAAATGGAGATAGTGAGAGCCCCTGGCCCCCAGGTTATTGTGAAACTCAAAGGAGGCAGTGTACATAAAGAATTTTGCAAGATGTAAAATGTTATGTGAATGTGCAGCCCCCTTAACATCTCCATGCCACAATTAAGGAGTGGAGAAGGACATGACCAAAGGCAGGTCTATACTCTATAGCAAGGCAAGAGAGCAGTGAAGCAGGGACATTCTTCCCTGGGATCCTCACCGGCTTTGTCTAAGAATGTTGATCCCTCCCCCCACTCAATTTTCCCCAAATTTAACAGGTGTTCTCCAGCCCATTTCCAAGTGCCTACTGGTCACATTGGCATGCTGGATTAGGCACTGGATTTGAAATATGGAAGAACTGGATTCAAATTCTGCCTTAGTTACTAGCTGTATGACCCTGGGCAGATTGCTTCCTCTTTCTGAGACTCAGTTTCCTCATCTTAAAATCGGAACAATAATCCTTGAACTACCCAGATCAAAAGGGTATTGGGAAGAATGAGCTTTATAAACCCTGAAGTACTAGAAAGTGTGAGTTGTAGTTCACTTTTTAGGGCCTCAGTTTACCTATCTATAAAAGAGTCAGTTGGACCAGATGATATCAAAACTGCCTACTAGCTTGAAAACTTGAAGACCCTCAGTTTGCAGCATGCTGTTCTCACTCAGATTAGGCCCTTCACTTAAAATGACCTCCCTTGAGCTTTTCTGAATTCTACTCATCATTCAAGGCTCACTTCAAATCCCATTGCTTCCCATTGCATTTCATCCTTCATTGTGCATCCTCTCCTCTTGAACCACAGTGCCTATCATTAGAGCCACAGCTTAATCCTTACATGTTTGCTCTTAAGATTGCCTTTGATGTGTCTCAGATGTGTACAATTTGTCTCTCTAGCTTAACTGGGAAACCCATGGAGAATTGGAACCATTCCCCAAATTTCTTCATTGTCTTCACTTTGCTCAACAAAGGGCTGAGCACATAGCAGGTGCTCAATGAAAGATCATTGATTAATAATAGTCAATCATCAACAAACATTTATTAAGTACCTACTAATTGCCAGGCACTATGCTGAGGGGGGGGGAGTACAAAAAGAAGCAAAAGACAGTACCTGCCCTTAAGGAGCTTACAATCTAATGGATGATGATGATGATAGTAATAACAGTAAAAAAATAATAATACTCTAAAGACCTGTGGTTTTTGTCAGTGTGGGAACTCCTTCCACCAACACAGATCACAAGCCATTATACTCAGTAGATTAATCAGAGAATTGCCTGAGGCTGAGAGGTCAAATGACTTGTCAGTAGTTACCTAGCAATGATCAGAGGAGGGATTAGAATCCAGGTCTTCCTGACTTCAAGTCTAGTACCATAAACAACTTCTCTCTAATGAGAATAACAATAGTAATAAAATAATAACTCCTACTTCTTTAAGGCTTACAATGTGGTTTATTTGCAATAGTCCTATTGTAGATGCTTTTATCTCCATTGAACAGATGAACAAAGTGAGGTTCAGATACTCACTGGACTTAAGGTTATGTAACTGGTAACTCTTGGGGCTGGAACTCAAATCCAGGTTTCCTGACTACAAGCCTGGTGCTCCACTGCCACCTTGGATAGTAAAGATGATGGGGAAGAGGATGGTGACAGCATGGGGAAGCAGATGCAGCACTTGTCCTTGAGCCAGGAAGACCTGGGTTCAAATTCAACTCTTAATACATATTGGCTGTGTGATCATGGGCAGGTCTATTGACTTCTCTGTGCCCCAGGCAACTCATTTAAGCCTGTGCTGATTTACATTGTTAGAGGGAGTTTTCTCACTAGAAACTCCCTAGTCAAGTCAAATCAAGTATTTATTAAGTGCTCACTGTATGCTGGGCACTGAAGGGTAGAGAAAGTCTAAAGAGGGTCAAGGGGGAGGACTGGGAAGGAATGAAGGCATGACTGGACTAGATGTCCTTCTGAAAATGGAGCTTCTGAGAGGAATCAGCCTACACTGATGAAATCACAAGTCTAGACCAAAAAATAATGCCACCAGTCTTCTAGGTTTTCCAGAATATTTTCCAGAAACAACTGTATGATAGAGGCTGGGCAAAATCTTATTCCTATTATATAGGTAAGAAAGCTAAGACACAAGGATGGATGAATGAGGAATAAGTCTTTGAGCTACTGCTGCTACTGTTGCTATCTGGGGAAATTTCCAAGGGCAGAATAACGCTATTAATTATCATTATTACTCTTCCCATTGCAGACACTGCAAGTCTCTGCTTGGAAGAAGATGAGACATCCATACCAAGGGAAAAAAGTGTGAGTAATGCTGTCGGGCTTTTGGCATCCCAAGGGAGCACAGGCTGGTTTAGTGGAAAGAACACTGGTCTGCAAGTCAGGAGATGTGGCTCTGTCCCTGGGGGAGGGAGAAGAGTAGACTGGAAAAGGTATTTTCCTCCCCACAACCTCAGACGGTAGGAATTCCAAGTAGGACACTTAGAGATGTAGAGGAGTAGCTTGATGTCAAAGATAGAGTTCTGGATTTGGATACAGGGAGGCCTGGGTTCAAATCCTATCTCAGATGTTTACTATTTATATAATGTTGAGGAAGTCACCTGACCTTGCTGGTTCTCAGTTTTCTCACGTACGAAATGAGAGGAGCAGTAGCCTTTGAGGTCTTTCTGGTTCTAAGCCTATGATCCTAGGGACTATGTGTCCCTAGACATGTCACAATCTCCCTGAACTTCAGTGGCATCATTTGTAAAATGGTGAGAATGGTAACACCGCCCCCACAGGGTTGGTTGCTAAACAAGTCAAGCAAACAAGCATTTATTATGGCAAGGTAAGAAGCATTTATTAAGCACTCACTGTATGCCAGGCACCATCCTAAGAGCTGGGGATATTAAGAAAGACAAAAGCACAGTTCCCGCTTTCAAGGAGATTATGTTCTAATATGGGAGACGACATTAAATGACTTGGTAGATAGAATATATATGCAGAGTATATGGGGAGGCATTCTAAGGGAAAGCATGAACATCTGGAAGGATCTGGAAAGGACCCTTGGGATAGGTAGGTTTTGAGATGGGTCTTTAAGGAAGTCAGTGAAATGAAGAGGCAGAAAGGTGAGGAGATAGAGCATTGCAGGCATGGGAGCTATTGAGTACAAAGGCATAGAGTCAGATGATGGACATGGTTCACAGGTTGTAGGGTAAGTGGAGGAAAAGGAAGTGTAAGACTTGGAAAGGTAAGAAGAGGCCATGTTCTATGGAAAGGGCTTTAAATGCCAGAGGAGTTTATGTTTGATTCTGGAGGTGATAAGGAACCCTTGGGACTAACTGGGCAGGGGAGTGACATGGTTACTAGACCCTGTGAGTCCTAGATGTGGAAGGGACCTTTGAAGTCAACTAGTCTAATTCTTTCAGTTCACAAAAAGCAAAAACAAACCTGTGCTTTTATCTTTCTTCATATCCCCAGCTCTATAGGACAGTCACTAGCATATAGTAAGTGCTTAATAAATGCTTCCTTAACATCTCCCTTGGTCATCTCATCTGCTTTCATGGGTTCAATTATCACCTCTATGCAGATGCCAGGAAAATGAATTCATCTCTGCCTCCTGGAATCCCTTATTTCCTCCAAAACTCTGCTCAGTTCAGCCTTCCTCATGTCCCTTGGGTGTCCATCCAGTATCTCCCCACCCCACAATTTTCCTTGTATTTTTAATATATATTTGTGTACATGTTGTCTCTCCTGATAGAATGTAAGCTCTTGAGGGCTGTGATGGTTCCATTCAGGTCTTTTGTATCACCAGAGCTTAGCAATAGTCAGCACACACACACACACACACACACACACACACACACACACACACACAGAGTAGGCACTTAAATGTTTGTTGATTGATACTTCTCAGGTCTGTATATCTATTCCTAATCTAATGGGGGTAGCTAGATGATCTAGTAGATAGAACACTGGACCCAGAGTAAGGATGACATATCCAAACCTAGCCTGAGACACTTGTTAACTGTGTGACCCGGGCTTAATTTCAGTCTGCCTCAGTTTCCTAATCTATAAAATAATTGAATAAATTGGAGGTATCTGCTTATGCGGTTGTTGTGAGGATCCAGTGAGATCCCTTTCTTGAAATGTCCAGCAAGCCTTCAAGTCCTATATAAATGGAAGTAGTCGTTAATCTTTCCTCCAAACTCTGGTCCAAAATCTCCCAGTTCTTGTTGGATGTCTCCAGCTGGATGTTCCATTACAAAGTTCCATCACATGTGTCCAGAGTAAAACTTATTTTCTTTCATGTAAGTCTCTCTCTTTCACATATCTCTCTGTTGGTACCAAATCCCTCCAGTCACCCAGGTTCAAAACCTCAGAGCCATCTTGAGTTCCTTCTTCTCCCTCACCCTCTACAGCTAATTACTGTAAAATGTATTTTTATTTCATTAAATATCTCCCAATTACATTTAAATTTTTTCAACATTCATTTTTTAAAATTTGGAGTTCCAAATTCTCTCCCTCCATCCAACCCCACCCCCATCCTTTGAGAAGGCGAGCAATCTATTGATTATACACATGAAGTCATGCGAAACATATTTCCATCCATATCTAATTAGTTGCTAAATCTCTGTTGAATCTACCTCCACCATATTTCTCACATCTGACCCTTTCTGTCTACTCACAATTGCAACGCCCTACTCAGACCCCTACCACCTGCTTCCTGGACTATTGTAAGAGCTTCCCCATCCTATCCTTATCTAACTTCTACCCTTTCTGAGTCATTGTTAATACATTTGCCACAGTCTTCCTAAAGCCCAGGTCTAATCATGTCACTTCCTTACTCAAAAATCTTCAGTGGCTCTCTGTTAATTGTAAAATTAAGTATCAGATCTTCAGGCTGACATTTAAGGCCAGGGGTGTTGTGGGGCTCAAATGAGATAATGGAAGTGAAGTACTGTGCAAACCTTACATCGCTTACAAATGCCAGTTATCATCCTCCTCCTCCTCCTCCTCCTCCTCCTCCTCATATCAACACCACCACCATCACCATCACCATCACCATCACCATCACCATCACCATCATCATCATCATCATCATCACATCAGCAGCAGCAGCAGCAGCAGCAGCAGCATCATTACCTTTCAGTTACCAGGCCCCTAGTTTGGTGATGACTTCATTCCCTGATTCTCCCACTATACCCCAGCTGAGCTCCAGCAATGTTTATGGAGCAATTCGAGGGTGTGCTGGTAAATGTTTAACAACTGGGCTGTCAAGAAAATAAAATAAATTCCCACTCACTTTTAAGTCTCATCTGCATTATTAACAGTTTCTTAAGTCTAAACAATCAATCAAACCCAGATTTGTTTGCTGATTTCCAAGTTGTCAATGAAAATTTAACAATTGGCTCTCAAAGGCAGCACATCTCTGTTTAAGGGTCCACACAAAGTGGCTTTGCCCTACCTTTCCTCCCAGCCATCCTTTTCACCCTCTGGACTTTGCCACCATGATCCAGCTGTCTTCCCCATCCCCCTGAAATTTCTCTCATTATCTGGCCTTGGAACATCCCTCTGCCATGTCAGGATCCTTCTCCCACTAGATGAATGCTTTCAAGTCTCCATTTTGGTGTTGGGTCCAGACTGACCATGCTTCATTCCCCTCCCAGCTGGGCTACTGGCTCTCTGGACTTCTGCCTCCTACAGGAAGCATTTCCCAACCTCTCTTAATTCTAGTGCATTCCCTCTGCTGATAATTTCTTAATTATTGTACATATGCCTAATATATCCCTATATATTGTATATGTACATAGTTGTTTGCATGTTTTCCCCCCCTTTAGACTGTGAGTTCCTTTTGCCCTTGTATCTCAGTGCTTAACACAGCATCTGGCATATAGCAACTTTTGTCCTTGTATTACCATCCTCTAACACATAGTAGGTGCATGATAAATGTTTATCGTATGGAATTGAATTGAATGAGCTTGACTGCTCTCTGGTAGCCCCACCCTCATCAGCCCAGCTTGAACATTCTAGGAGATGTGAGATTTTATTTTTGTTCATTAATTTCCCTGCCAACCTAGCACACAGGTATATTTGCCTCATGGGCAGAAGATCCATTTAGGACTGGAATTCGGGACAAGAGCCCCCCCCATCCTATACTCCATGAGAGCTATGTGCTGACTTTGTCGACTTTGTCGACAGAGAAGACTGTAAAACAAAGCAGAGCAAATCAAAGTATTCCCCTAAGGTTTGCTCCATAGCACAGAGGATTAGAGAGCTCAGATAATATTGAAATACTCATCTACATTTAAAATGATATCTTGGAGTCTATGGAGAGCTCTCTCCTGCACATTTCTAGCTCTGTGCTAGAACACGGCTTGTTTGGGCTGTTTTCTTATAAAACCAAAAGGTGTGGGGAGAAGAACAGTAGGAAAAGCACTGGTTTGGAGGGCCCGAGGTCATACCCCACCTGTGATGATTAGGATGTATGTGACCTTGGGCAACTCAGTTCATGGCCCTCAGTTTCCTTATCTGTAAAATGAAGGTATTGGCCCAGATGGTTCTGAGATGCCTTCCAGCTTTAGCTCTATGAGGCTATGAGTGACAAACAACAGTATTGTGACCAAAATGCTCTATTAGCCTTTTTTTTTTCTTCCATCCTTACATGCAGGGCAGATCTGTGACTTCTCAGAGTGAAGGACATCTGGAATGGGAACTCCCTCCACTAGTGTGAATATCCCCGATCTCAGAGGGGTCCATTGCTTGAGGCTCAAAGGCACAGGATCTCAAAGCTAATTAATATCAGACGTAGGATTTGAATCCAAGTCTTCCTCACTAAGCTCCATACTCTAACCACCATGCCATACTGTCTTTATAAATACGGAGTTGCCTTTTATACTCAGATACTCAAAAGGAACTGTGAGCCCCTCCAACAATACAGATTGCAATCCTATGTGATCTTTGTCCATGCCTTACAACAAATTCATCCTGGAGGGTCTATCCAAAGTGCTCCCAGCCTTTTCTGCCATTGTGAAGACACCAACCAAGCACTCAGGGTGTTCACCTGTTATCCTCTGATCCCTCCATGTCAAATCAACTCGAGTCAACAAGTAAACAAGCGTGTGACAAAATGAAAGCACCTTTTTCCCGCTCACACGTTTCTCTCATGACGTCCTTCCCTATGATTCTTTTTCAAAGTTCATCATTTGTTGTATGTCAGAGCCTGCTCACACCCGCTGTATGTCTTTCTGTTCAAAGTTCATCATTTGTTGTATGTCAGAGCCTGCTCACACCCACCATATGTCTTTCTGTCGCACTCTGTGATC